GTCACGGCCCCCGGAGGTCTGCGCGCTGGGCCCCGGGGCCGCGCACCCTCCCTCGGGGCCCCGGGAGCGGGCGTGCGGCCGCCCGGCAGGCCCCGTGGTCTCGGCCCAGGCCGCGCGCTCCGCTGCTCCTGCCGGGCCAGGCGGGGCCGCCGCGGCCCGGGCGGCTGTCAGGGGCGGCCGAGCCGTTACGCGCACTTGGCGTGGAGGAAGTTTCCCGAAATGTTATTTAACTCAGGTTGCTTTTCTTGTAGGGTTTCCGCAGGAGTACGGCCAGAATGAGATAATTGCAACCTACTTTGGGTGAATTTCCAACTCCACTTTCCAGCACTCCATGAGTGCTTTTTAAACGAAATCACCTTTTTTTGGCTTCTTGTGCCCTGGTGAACTTTGATGCAAATTGGATTGATTACTTAGTTGACAGCATCTCCGATCTAAATCATATTTTGACCACGGGAGTTTCTCAACTGACATTCTTCCAAGTCACCCCTATAATCAGGCTAGCTTGAATTAGGGAGTTTTAATTATATGTTGAAATTCTCGGAAACCTTAAGCTTCTCTAGGGCAATATTTCCCTGTTGTAGGATAGCAGCACATATTAAGGAATGAATTGTAAGTTCCCTGTGCCAGAGTTCTACAGGAGATTTTTGAGGATTTCTGTTTTTCTAGCACAAAAGTAGAAGCTTTGAGAGCCCTCTGGAAATCAACATTCATTGAAAATTTATGTCGTATTTCCTTCTTTCCTTCCTGTAGTCGATTATCCTCTGCAATACTGGTCTTAATTTGAATCGACGTGTTGGCTTTGTAGTAAATTTTAAGTCCGGTTTCAGCATATGGCTAACAAGGATTTGTTACCAATTATGTAGAGGGAGGCCGAGTGATTAAATAGCAGCAATATCTTGTGCAAAAAACTTCAAAGGAGGGATATCACAAATCCATTACCTTTTGCTAAACATGGTGATTATGTTTGTAATTATTTTAGAACCTGACTGCTGTGTAGTAGAGAATGCTTATGTAGGCTGTTAACTATGTCAGGAATAACTGCTGCCTCAGAGTGCTTGTCATTTGGAACCGATAATTTGAACAGCATCTCAGCCTCTTTGGTGGAACAGTAAGAAAGAAGATTGGGGATGCAAACTAGCCCTGCTTTAGCTTCTTGTGAAGCTAAAATGTTTGGTTCCCTTTCATCTGCAGATATAGGTTTAAAGTCACTTTCTACTTGATGGGTGTGATTTTTCTGGGATAATGA